TCCCTCTTAAATGGGGGAGGAGAGATCTCTCCATGAAGAGGCCCCGGCTCCTACTACGCCACCACTGGTCTTGCACAAGAGATTGAGAATATTTTACCTAGAACATGTATCTAAGATGACAATCAAAATAAAACTTGCTTTCGACCTTAGAATCAGTACAGTACGGTAAATGCTCGAATAAGTGCCACTTTTGAATAAATGCCACACCAAATGTGATTCTTTTTGCTAAGCATCGCTTCCGAAAAAGCGCCGCACTCCAATAAGCGAATCAAGAGTATTATATTACTGCGTGTAATGAAAAATTTTCGGAAATAGAGTTTTAAATACATAGTATACAGTGTTAAAATGAAAAAAAAAATAACAATGAAGACAAGCATTTCTTTCTTAACGTTTATTTACAATGACGTAGGACCTATGAGAGTCCTACCTAACTACGGGAATACGTGGAATAGGTAACATAGGCAGCGTTTATTCCAGCATTTACGTTATTGAAGAATTTCCATTTTCAAAATTGTAGATATTACATTAATACATAAAAATTCTCACTTCAGTGTCGAAAGTAGTGGGAATCAGACGAATGAACCAGCAGCAACCACCAACCAACTTTATTTGGACACAAACAATACCAAAAGATCGAAATTTAATTCAATTTGTTTATTCATCGTATAAGTACACAACATTATAATTGTCTTACTAGGTTATGATAAAAATAAATACATAAGAGTGATATTCTGTATTGCTTATGTAACTTAATTACTGTAACAAGTTACAAGGAGGACGGATAGCAAATATATACATAAACATGAAACATGCTCTTTATCACTGGTAAGTTAGTTTATTTTAGCGTATGTAAGTGTAGTATAATATTATAGTGTCCTGGGTACGACGTTATAAACTGCACCCGGTCGAGTCGTCGGCGACTAATTCAGGCAACCCCATCTGGTGGTCTTTAGCGGCCGCCGATGGGAGGGTGGATGGACACCCAACAGCATGAAAAAAATAGCTGAACAAAGGGCGGATAAACTCCTCGGAGCCAACGGCCAACCATGCCTTAGTTTAAGGAGTAGATTGTTTAGTTTTATAAAATAACAAACTTTTTTCAAAATATCAAATTCAAAGAGCTCAATCACCAAGCACATAGAGGTTTTTTTTCGCATGATGCGCTATATACAAATTCAACTATTTACTATTATTAATAAAAATATACAGTACTTCATAAAAAATAAGTAAAAAATATATTATATATATAAATATACTTTTAACTGTTATAACCTAATAATATACATTTATAGATTAATTATACTACAAAAGAAATTAATTTAAAAATATTTTTCGGTCTACATATATGGTGAACAACCATAAAAAGTATGTATATATATATATATATATTATACATATATATAATACAAATCTAACATTGTAAATTAATCAAACACAGTACTGTTACAAAAAAAAGAGTAAACAAATATAAAATTAAATAAAAAATAAATAAATAAATAAAAATAAGTAAAAAAATAGAAGCCTTCAAAAACAGGCAGACCAGGGAAGGAAAAAACCAAGCTGCAGCACGAAATAACGCACTCCTGTTGTTGAGATGGCGACACCACCACTACCGCGTACACGCAGGTACTCCGACGACAGTATGCTAGGCTCCGGTAGCTTCCACCTTGGATAAGCCTCGGCTCTACTACCGTGCACTGCTAAGGTGGCAACGCCGGCTCGAGTAAGGGAGTTAAATTATAACAATGTTATAATTATGTTATTAACTCTTAAATAAATACTTTTTTATATTTCAGGTGAATATGATGGCGACGACGAAGAGGACGATGACGGAGAATATTTCAACAATGGTAAACTTCTAGCAGCAACAAAAATGAAATTGGATCAAATGAATTAAACGTTAGATCAGAAATAAGTGAACAGTTACTGTAGTTAACTAGTATAAATGTCCCATCATTGTGCAAAAATATTTGTACTTTAAGACCACACTTTCAAAATAGTAAATCAGTACTCAAGATACAGCCTTGACGGCACCGAGATAACCAACACATGAGCATGTATCCACATTTTGGGCCATCTATTTTCCATAAAGCGGCCCATGTTAGCTTGTACCCTAACATTCATATACTGCAATATACAGGAACCTGAAATGAACATACATCCACCATTCAGATGATTCATACATGGTGATGCTAGAACTAGAAAGAAAGATTTGTTGCAAAACAAACACCTGTTCTTCCTTTGAGTTATAACTTGCTTCATCCTACCTCTCAGGAAAACACGTTTTTTATAAACTCCCAGTCCAAAATACATACAGGACAAGGGAAAGTTTTTCACGTTCTGATATCTGTATATTAATGTTTAACATATGTTTAGATTTGCTCATAAATTTCTTACTGTATATTAAAAAAAAGGGCCTCCCTGCATGCCATGGTGCAAAAATAAATGCACAGAAAAAATAAACAAAGATCAAAGGGAAGCAATTAACAAAGAATATTTGATGTTGTTTAGGAAGCAACAAAGAATATGGCTCCTAGGTATACCGAGTCATCTGTTGCAAAGCGCACCGACCCAAATGCTTCCAACCCACTAAAACATACGTACACATATTCGCTGATGCCATTGGGCATCCAGTCAACTGAGCCTCCTATCTAAGTAGTTCTGAAAAGAACTGTTTTGCTGAGAATGTCTCAACGCTAAATATAATAATAATCATATGAACTTAGATTAGGTGATCTCTCTTTGCTTCACACAAATAGTTGTGTAAAAACCTATAACTGTAGTCACTCAGGATTTTTTTTTTCGACAAATTGTATCCAACTGAGCTGAAAATTTGTAAATTAGAAATTTAGATTTGTATTCTAACTTATTTTCAGTAGGTCTAGTTTAGTTAGGGAGAAAACAAATAATACGTTTCGTTTAATAATAATATAAAACTTACATTGGGTGATCTCATCCTGTTTTCACGAATAGTATATAGTAATGTAAATTCCTATTCCAAAAGGCGACACATGGGAATACCTTGTTATATTTCAATTATAGTGAAGAAAAACTTTTTAAGTTTGTGATATTCTACATCAGTTACATTTTTATCTGTACAGTATTTTTCTTTTCGAAACATGGCTGGAAACAAGGAATCTTCAACCGTTAACTACTCTGAGGCTACTAAGCTTATAAGATATTTAAATGGAGAAAATGTAGATGAAAATTCTTCGGCGATACTCACCCTTGGCACTACTCTGAGGTTATTGACCTTATAAGATATTTAAATGGTAAAAGTGTAAATGATACTCGCCCTTCGCAACAAGTTGAAGAAAATGCCAAAATAATTCAGGAAGAATTGCAATAGTGTGAGACATTGCAGTACAAGCCATTCTAAATCTACGCACCTCAAATGAGGAGGAGGAGGAACAAATCGACCAAAATAAAGAACACGAAGACATAGGTTTTGTTGATTTACCGGACTTCGAATTGTTATAGGAAGCTTGTTCTGAGACGACTGACACTGTGGAAAATTTGAACAATGTAATTCAATTTGAAGGCGGAAAAATAAGGCGGAAAAAGAATGCGAGAGGAGGAGGAGGAGGAGGAAGAAAAAGAAGACGACAACGACCAGGTTGATTTTTAAAATTTTAATCAGGTACCTATAGATGATTTATGTGAAATCAAAAAATTGAAAGATAGATGTAATAAAACATTTAATGCCAAAATTAACGATTATGCTGTTAGGTTACCAGGTTTAGATGATATTAGGCTGATAGATATCTTATCAACATTAAGCAGAATTTTCGGACATACATACTAAATAATGTTTGTGAAGATATCAGAGATAATGACTTCGTAAGAATTGTTATTCAATCTGAAGGATAAGATATACCAATATCGATACCTTTCGGTCGTAGGGATCACATGACCCCTGAAGTAATTTTTAATGCTATATTGACAGTCTCACAATCTTGAGCAGATATCTCTGTTAATGAAACTTTAAAAATTTTAGAATGCCTATAGGGGTGGTAGGGTAAGAAAAGGGATTGATAAAGAATTGGGGGGGTAGATGTCTCATTAGAATTAACAGTGAGTTGGATGAGAATATCTGTTGTGCCAGAGCGTTCGTCACAGGGATCTCAATGATTGAGGATAAACTTAATAATAGTCAAAGATGGAATAATAGCGAGTTTTAGATCTGCGACGACGAGTTACTTGGAACGGTATGACGTTATTGTAAGGCATATGCGCATGCGTAATTATATTCATAATGCTTGGGTTTCGTCGAGTTCATTCGTAGAGGACGTGAAATAGTTGCTGAACTGACCAATTGGTCTTGTTTGTTTTGGTCACGTGGATACCTATTGCAAATTAACGCACTTTGAGTTACGTTAATAAAGAATAAAAACAATATAACACTTTGACATAGCCTTTCATTTTGTTTAACAAATCTTTAATTACTACTGTAATGTCAAGCAAAAGATTTTTTTTATTTGAAAGATTTTTTTTACACAATACAGTTTTTACAACCTATAACACATTAACTACAGTGTAAGGTAAACTCTGTAGTTAACATTAACAGAACTTTATTTTTAAAAATGGCCTAATTAAGTATCTTATTGTTTTCGTTTAATTTAATATGGTTATATTCTGTCTCTTATACACATCTAGATGTGTGCAGCATGAGACACTTGAAATGGATAATGACTTAATAAAAGAAATGCTGAACTCCAACTTTGTTATGGGACGGTGCAGGGACTTTACATAATTTACCTGGTATTCCCCACACTTAATTGCGCTACCAAGTCCTCAAAAATACCCCCGTAAATGCGGCACCTACCCGTCTATAAATATTTAAGAGTGAGCCCCCGGGATATTCCTTCAATACCACTGCCAATATTTAACTCAAACCTATTAAAGTTTTTGTTACTTAGCACCATAAAAAACATCTTTACTCTCTTAATTTTTAATTTTTTTTTTTTCTACTAATAAAATGAGGACTTAATGTATCTCTTAAAAATGAGTACTATTATGATGACATCGAATACTAAGCCCCTTCACTTTAAATGTACGTAATGTCATGTTGGTTAATGCAATATTGGAACTTTATTCATTATACTTTATAGTTATATTTATATTATACTTTATATTTATTTATGTATTCATTTATTATTTAAACTTTATCAACAAATGCAATTTATTATAATTTTCAAGGAATTTAAATTTACTTTTTTCCTATCTAGATGGGATGAAGAAATGGATAATGACCTAATAAAAGAAATGCTGAACTCAAACATATTTAGTTACAAATATAATTCAAAGAGCCGGGGTGCGCAGTGGAAATTGCTTGCAGAGAAGCTCAATGAGTGCTGGGGGGATAGTTTTCAGACAAATGAAAGAGCCTTGAGAGATAAGTACAATGGATTGAAAAAAGGGTTTAAAAATAAAATTAGATACGAAGAAGCAGCATCGGGCATTACACCACCAGATTTAACGGAGCTCGAGAGGGGACTTGAGGAGTTAATTGAAAAGGAAGAACAAGATAAAAATGAGGACAAGTTCAAGTCAGAAAAGGAGGAAGCTTTGAGTGCACAGGATAGATGCATGAAGGGAATGACACCCAAAAGGTATTTCAAGCATTCTGGTACTACTGTATAAATGCATGAAAATTATGCCCAGATCAATATTAATTACTACTATATTCTACATCTTTCTTTATTAATAATCAAGGTTTTTTTTTTATAAAATAACTAACATCATCCTATAGATTTGGTGTTCGTAAAAAGTTAGAGAATACTCAGTTTCATTCTAGTGTGCCGTATATGCATAATAAATCACTCTTAATCTTTTCACAGAAAAGGGAGTGAAGAGGAAGTGTGTTCAAACAGAGTTTCTAGAAATGATACTATCACATACCTTAGGGAAAAAATGGAAAGAAAAGACAAATGGAGAAGAGAAGAAGCTGACAGAAAGGACAAACAATTCATGGCAGAGCTTGAGGTGAGAAAGTTGGAATCAGAAGAGAGAAGAATGCAAGCTGAAGCCCAAAACACTATGTTTAAAGAACTATTTAATATGCTTGCCCGAAAATAAGCCACTGTATTTGTGAGTCTTCTTTTTTCTGCCTCTAACTTTCTCACTTCAAGTTCTACTGTACTTACTGTAAACTTATTATTAGTAAATTCATGCACTTTCTCACCTAAAAAGATAGACATGTTCTATAAAAGTATATATCTCCCTCAAATTGTAACCATCTTTATTACTAATAGCCTACAAAATGTTATGTGTACACAAACAATTAAATTAATATGACCAAAGCAATTAAAAAATAATATGTTTAAAATAATAAAAACTAAAAATTTAATTAATAAGCAATTCGACGGTCGTTAAACCATGCCTACATGTGCAGTGGTAAAATCCTACTTTACACAAATGTAGTTGCTGAACTGACCAATTGGTCTTGTTTGTTTTGGTCACGTGGATACCTATTGCAAATTAACGCACTTTGAGTTACGTTAATAAAGAATAAAAACAATATAACA